AGCAGAAGAAAGAGTGGCAGCGAAGAAAACGGCGGCGTTGAAAGCCGTCTCGTCGAGCGCTTTTCCGAAAACGTACGTAGTATCGTTTCATTTATGCATCCCCTTTGAAGTGGAGTAACCCGAAAGGATGCGAGAGAACGCACGCGGGTGTGATCGATTCTCAAAGCGTAATTTCTCCTCAACCAGGAGGGTGCGAGCGCCAACTGATACCTCTCAGGAAAGCTCTCGATGAGATATTTCCAAAACCACCCTTTTCGACAGCAGCAGTGGTATTCTAACCTGCTGGTTGTGGAGAAAATACGTTTTTGAAAATCGATCGCACCCCCGTGCGTTCTCTCGCATCCCTACATGTACGGTAATCGGGGTTATAAAATCAGTCCAGGGGGTGTGGCATATTGTGTCATGTCGCCTACGGTACACTTTCCGTTTCCTGCAAGTGTGGTCCAGGAGCTGGATAAAATTCAGAGTAGGTTTTACGTCAAGACAACAACAACGAAGACAACAGCAGCAACAAGAGCAACAACAGCCGCACCAGCAGCAAACAACAATTAACAACAACAGCACCAGCAAACAACAAGAAGAAAACCAACAACACCAGCAACGCAGCAACAACAGCCAAAACAACATCAACAACGACAACAATAGCCACACCAGCAGCAACACTAGTAACAACAACAACGACGTGAACAACAATAACAACAACTCACCTGAGACGATGGATTCGGTCTGTGACCTCCCTGCCCGACTACCCGAGGCCAGCGGCGGCGCGGGCCTCCTTGGCGATGCCCTCCCACGTGGACTGATCCTTCGTGCAAGGGCGCTCTGGGTCGATCCCTAGGGCAGCTCCGTGTTCCTGAACGAACTTGAGCACCTCCGGTTCGTACCTGAACAACAAAACCCCCCGGGAAAACGGCAAAAAGACAAGTAGAAAAAAACACAATGTTTTCGGTTGTTTTCTTCTCACGAAAAAACAAAACACAGATGGGAGCCCAGGACAAATTATTAATTAGCAACGACGTCGCAGTTCAGTTGCCTGGCCTTTCGCTTGCTGTGTTTCTACTAACTCCGCATACAGTGAAAGTATGATATATGCTCAATGTCCCCCCCACTGCTATGATCTAACCCTGCGGCATACACGGCTATGAGTAGACACCCGCCATACGCAAGGATGATGACACTACCAGCTTCTGGTTCATCCTTGTGATGTGATAGCCTGGGCCCGCGAAAACTCGGCATATCGCTCCGTCCAGGCAGTGTAGGGATGCGGGGTCAATGGTCGTCTAACGACTACGGCATGGTACACCCCCACCCCTCCAGTCATTCGGTTGAGTAACGAAACAGAAACATTTGGTGCTCGCAGGGACTCCGTGCGATATAGCTCCTCAACTGACTAACTCCCACGCGGGGTGATACAATCAGCCCGTGGTTCTAAGTTAAAGTACAGTATATCTGAGGTTCGAAACCAGGATGCACGCAATAGCAAAACGGCATGTTGGTTTGTGTACATTAGTGTTTGAATTTGTAACTTTCTGCAGGACTCAAAACGTGGGTGTTGGGTTTGCGGACATGTCGGTAACAAAAAGCACTAAAAATTCTTAGAGATGGATGTGTTGCGTTCTTTGTAAGAATAAAAAACATGCTTCAAAATATACAAAATGCACTCACTCCCTCGGCATGTAGATTGCGGTCCATCGGTGGTACATGAAGGCCAGCGAGACGGTAGCGATGAGCTCGATCACCCCAGCCGGGGCTGGAACCCAAGCAGGCAAGAGGATCAACACGAAGAGGAACATGCAGGGAAGGGAAACGAACAGATTCTAAATTCACACACGAATCAACATATGTTTAATAGAAGAAAATAATCATACAATCAAACAAAGACTGCCCTTTCGAGATAATATAATACCACAGATGCGTTTGAGTTTCCGCAGTGGATGGGACCGGCTGGGTATTTGTTCACCCGGATTGGACCGACCACCCCTCACTCGCACGGCTTTCCGCGCAAAAACATGTCGCCGTGCTCAACCCACGTAGGTCCAGCAGCAGCAGCAGCAGCAGGCGTCATTAAACCTTCGACGTGAAGAAATTCAGCACACCTCCTTGCCGCTGGTGTTCTTCCGGGATGCCATGCATATTTTTCCACCAAGGTGAGAAAGAAAAACGCCACAAACAAAAGAAGAAACTGCAAAGCAGAATACGAAAAAAAAGTTATAGCCCAAAAAATGACCCAAGCTCATGGGACATAAAATTACGCGAAACCGACTGCGACGACAGGGGACACAATAGACGAGAAAAAGGTGGTGAAAAAAGAGAAAGAGAGCTGGAAATGGACAAAACAAAGAAACATGACTGGACACATACAAAATACAGAACAAAAAGAAAAACATAGTGAGCAGCGTGGACTCGTATGTAGCAGTGCATGCCGCAGACCATGTACATGTACGGTGAGTGGGAAGAAAAAAAAGGCCGGCGCAAGCGGTACTGACGTTTACGACACAAAAAATCAGGATTAAAAAAAAACGGACGGCGACCATGTTAGAACCTATTTAGTGAAAACCACAAGGTGGCATTTTTTACTCACAGTACTGTCGCATCAGCAGCCCCACCAGCACCGGAGACACCGTCGAAGGCGTACCGCTGCATGCCTCCGCCAGGGCCATCGCCGCCACCTTAAACAGAACCGGCCGCAGTCAACGAAACATGACAGAGGCTCAGATTTTCGCGAGAAACAGCTGCTGGTGCTGGTGCTCGTGCTGCTACTGCGGTTGCTACTGCTGCTTCAGATGTGGTTGATAGTCACACAGCTCAGCGGCGGATCCAAGACAAAACCTTGTGCAACAAAGTTGTGCTGGACAGCAGTGGCGATGACGTAAGAAACTGAGCGTCGACCCGATTTTCACTTTGCTCATCTCCCGGGCCCGTTCTGTGTGGGAAATCACATCAGCAAGGCCGTAAGTGACATAAACATGGACGTGTACTCCGCGCCCGGAGACCGGATTCTGTCGTCCAATTTCCTCCGCGCCCCCCCTGCGGGGGGGGGGGGGTACTCATTGTCGTGCATGCCGTAATCGTTAGAACCTTGACCTCCCAGGGGGGGGGGGGGGGGGAAAA